CAGGATGATGACCTTTGAAACTTCAGAAAAGAAAAAATAGGCAGAAAGTGCATGTTTATTAAATCAGGTGATGGGCCTATGGAGGGGTTCAGTATACTGTTCTCTTTAACGACTATTTGCAGTTAAAAGTAGCTTTGCTGCCTGGCCGTCGTGGCTCAGTGGTTGAACATTGACCTATGAACCAGGAGGTCACAGTTCAATTCCCAATCAGAGCACATGCCCAGGTTGCAGGCTTGATCCCCAGTGTGGGGCAAGCAGGAGGCAGCTGATCAGTGATTCTCTCATCATTGATGCTTCTTCCCCTCCCTCCCTCCCCCCCTCTCTTCCTCCTTCCCTCAAATCAATAAAAATATAGAAAAAAGATAGGTTTCCTGTCTCCATACAAGCACCCTCTGTTTTTAAAATTCTAAGAGTTCTCACCTGCTTTTTTTTTTTTTTTTTCATTAAAATTTCAAACTTACCATTGGGTGGGAAAGGTGAAAACACCCCGCCCATCAGAGCTATATCTCAGTAGATGCTCCCTGAGTACTTCAGCATGAGCACTGCTACCTGGGGTCAGTGCTGCGTCTTTTTCTCTGGGGGTGGTATTCACACACAGGAGCGTGCAGACCTGGAGTGAGCGTGCTGCGTTTGGACAGATGCAGCTGTCCCCTGAGCCCCATCGGGGTTCACTGTCACTCCAGCCCCACTCCCGCCACCCCTGAGGCCAGGGCTCCGGGTTTTCTCTAGCGCAGGCCACGCCTGCCTGTTCTGGAATGTCCGTCCGAGCAACGCAGCAGGTGCTCTTGGATGGGTCTTTCAGCCGAATGCTTTTGAGAGTTACCTGTCTCGTTGCGTGTTTCCCTTGGCCCTTGAACAACACGGTGTGCACTGCGCAGGCCCACGCAGGTCGTGTTGGATGATACCTTGCTGTTTCCCATCTGCGGATGCAGCGGGCCGACTGCATGATTGCTCTCCACCATCTTACATCGGGGCTGAGTGCCGTGGGTGTTGGTGCCCACAAGGTCCTGGGACCACTCCCCTGTGGGCACCGAAGGAAGTTAGTTTTTGGATTCAAAAGTAAACACTTGGATTTCCTACTCCGAGGGGTTACTCCTGCCTGTTCAAGGGTCGGCCTCATATGACAGTTGTTGAGTCTGACTCATGGGCCCCTGGGCTTTTCCAGTTCTTGGCTGTGAAGAATAAAGCTGCCGGGAGCATTCTTGTGCAGCTCCCTTTGTGGACATGTGTTGTATTTATCTTAGGTGCATACCGAGGAAAATAACGTGGGATTCCTTTTATAAGAAACGACCAGAGTTTCCTAAGTGTGTGTCCTGTTTCTCCTCCCTATGGTGCCGTGTGCGAGTCTGGCTGCTCTGTGCCCTCGCCAGCAGGTGGCGCCAGTCTTTCCCACGTTGGCCTTTCTGATGTATGAATGAGGAGTCTCATGTGGCTTTGATTTGAATTTCCCTGATGGTGTCGGGCACTTTCGTGTCCTTGTTAGCCATTTGTATAGCTTTTGTGAAATGTCTGTTCAGATCTTTTGTTCCTTTTTAAATTTGGTTGTTTGTCTTTTATTATTGAGTTGCCAGAGTTCTTTAGATGTTCTGGGTACCAACCCTTTGTCAGATAATGTCTTGTGAAAATTTTTTCCCTGTTCTGTGGCTTGTCTTATCTGTTGAGCACACATGTTGACTTTTGATGAAGTCTGATTTTTGCTTGCTGTGTCCTTCCTGAGAAACCTTTGCGTACCAGTACGTTGAGATCTTTTTCTCTGTGAAAGCTCTTGGTTTCTGACTCTTTGCAGTTAAAAGCAGCTGTGCTGCCTGGCCAGCATGGCTCCTTGCTTGAACATTGGACTTGGTAGCTTCAGCTTTCCTATCAGTTTCGTGATCACCTCAGTTTAACTTTGCTGTGTGGTGTGAGGTAGGAGTAAAGGCTAATTTTTCCTGTTCAGCCATTTGTTGAACAGATTTGTCTTCCTTCATGGATTGCTTTGGTGCTTAAAAGAATCCTCTAAGGGCGGGTCTAGTTCTGCTGTTTGCTCTTCTCCATTGATTATTTGTCAGTCTGTGTCGTAACGTGCTATCTGTTGGCTGTAGCTTTCTTTATATACTGCGTGTTGAAGTCATAGGGCGTAAGTCCTTCAATCTAGTTCTTTTTCAAGATAGCCTTGGATATTCTAGATCAGTGGTTCTCAGCCTTCCTCATGCCGCGACCCTGTAATACAGTTCCTCACGTTGTGGTGACCCCCAACCATAAAATTATTTTCGTTGCTACTTCATAACTGTAATGTTGCTACTGTTACGAATTGTAATGTAAATATCTCATATGCAGGATGTATTTTCATTGTTACAAAGTGAACATAACTAAAGCATAGTGATTAGTCACAAAAACAATATGTAATTATATATGTGTTTTCCAATGGTCTTAGGCGACCCCTGTGAAAGGGTCATTCGACCCCCAAAGGGGTCGCGACCCACAGGTTGGCGACCCACAGGTGGAGAACCGCTGTTCTAGATGCTTTGCCTTTCTGGTTTTGAAATCAGTTATTGTCAACAAAATGTCTGCTGGGGTTGTGCTCGGTTTGCATTGACCAGAAGATTAATTGAGGAGCGTTGTTGAATGAGTGGATGGGCACATGCTCACAACACCTGGCGCTGCAGCCCTCCCCTGGCTCAGGAGACAGGCTGCGGTGGAGGCAGTGAGACTCACTCCGCCATTTCCTTACATTCGAGAATTCTCTCTGCATCTAGATCTGAACTTCCCACAGCAGGAAGGGGTGAGGGCAGTCAGGGGGCTGGGTGAAGGGGTGTCTGTGGCCGGTTCACTGTGCCTGCCACTTCCAGGCAGGATGCTGTCTGCACGTGTTTGATCCGGTCTGAGCGGGGTGTCTCCCTCTCCTGCGGGAGCAGGTGGGTGGGGCTGGGGCTTGACTTGGGCCGGCATCTGCCGCCCCCTCCTGCGGTTCTGAGAGTGGCGGTCATTCCCCTTTCACGTCGGAAAGCAGGACTCACAGTTCAGAGCCTCGGTGGGGCCTGGCGTCTGTCGGTGCCGTGACGGAGGCCGGGGGACAGCTGTGAGCAGGAGGTGCAGCTTCTGTCCGTGTGGGGCGGACAGTCCAGACCGTGTGCAGGGAGCGGCCGGTGGGCAGATGCACGTGATGACAGTGACCGCCAGGGAAGAAGGGACCAGGGTGTGTGGAGAGGAGCTGGGACTCCCTTTGACGGGGAGGCTCCTGCAGGGCAGCGCCTGAGCAGAGGGGCCCTCCATGCAGAATGCAGGCCTTCCTGGCAGGGGACCCTGAGAGGTGTGTACGTGGCTCCTAAGCGGTGAATTCGACTCCGGTGCTGCTCTGGGATCGTCCCCACAGCCCGGCCCTGTCACCAGGCGCCCACCGTGTAGCCCCAAGTGCTCTGCTAACGTAATGTGCACTTGGACAGCTGTTTGTGTGTGCGAGCAGCCTGCACCTGCTGATGTGGGTACGTGTATGTTTCCTGCTTACAGCTGACACTGAAGACGTGTGCATCGTGGAAAGATTGTTCTCGAGCAGCTTGGTGGCCATCGTCAGCCTCAAAGCTCCTCGGAAACTGAAAGTTTGCCACTTTAAGAAGGGAACGGAGATCTGCAACTACAGCTACTCCAACACCATCCTGGCCGTGAAGCTGAACAGGCAGGTGAGCACCAGCCTCTGGGCGTCAGACCTCGCTCTGCCCGTGTCTCAGTGTGCAGTGTGGCTGCGGCCGCCACTGCCCCCGGAGGCCTCCGGTGCCTCCAGGACAAACGCGGTCCTGAGCCAGCGTTTCTGCCCCGAGCCCCGCTCACCCCCCACCACCCGCCTCCACACGGCGGCGCTGTGTTCTCAGGTCCCTCCCTCCCTCTGCTCATCCTTCCGGGCACCGTGTCTGTGCAGAGTCCCCACGTGGCGTCCTCTCCTTGCGCCTTGATGAGGGTCTGTGGGAGTCAGCGCTGTCCCTGTCGGTCAGCCTGGGCACTGGCTTTCTCCCACGTCGTGCAGGCGCCAGGGGCTGTGGGCAGTGTTACGTGAGGACTGACCGGATGTCCATGCAGCCATCCTTGGTGTTGAGTCATAGTTTATTTAGCTTCTTTTACTTTCACTCGTGTTACTTCAAAAAACCTGTTGGCATCTTCTTTCTCCTTTTTTAAACTGCTAATTTAACCTTTGATTTAAGATGATGTATGCTTCTGCCTTGGCCAGCTGTTCAGTGGTTAGAGCATGGGCCCATGCACCGAGGGAGGTGGGTGTGATTCCAGGTCAAGGGCACATACCTGGGTTGCAGCCAACCCACTGAGATGTCTCTCCCACATCGATGTTTCTCTTTCTCTCTCCCCCTCACTCCCTTCTTCCCACTCTCTGAAAAAGCAGTGGGAAAAACATCCTCAGGTAAAGATTAACCCCAAAAAGTGATATAATTTATTGCTTTTTATATCTTCCCCAAAACAAGAGAGTCTGGCCCAGCGTGTGGGCCTGTGACTGGCACTGAGTCCCTTTCCCGGGCTCCCGCGGCCTGTACTCACAAATGCAGCACCGCCCCGTGCACAGCGGAGTGCCCTGGGCTGAGGGGGCGTGGACCGTGCGGGCGCTGCTGGCGGCTACTGCCACGTGACCACTGACCTGGCTGAACCCAGGCATTGGTCTGTTGACTGAAAAAGTTGGTTGAAATAGGAGAGGATAAGGCATCACATGTTGAACCTTTTAATTTTTATTTAATATTATTGTTTACAGTGTTACAAATAGTAGTACACATGTCTCCTTTTCTTCCCCGTTGACCTTCCCCCGGCCTCCCCGACCGCCTTTTAAAGCTTAAAACACACGTGGTGTCCCGTGGCGGCAGGTGCCGCGTGCGTGCGTGCGTGCGGGCCAGTTGTCTTCCCGCGATGCGCCCTCCAGGGACTCCATCTTGAAGCGCAGCAAGAACATGGACGCCTGCAGAACAGCCCGGGTGCAGGGGAGTGTCATACTTTTGGGAAATCCTCGGCTTCCACCCTCATCCTGCCGCGCCTGTTCAGCAGCAGGTGTTTACTTACCAGACCCATCCAAGGCACTCGATGTGGTTTTCACGAGGGGCAGAGGGGTGAGGGATGAGAGACACACAACAAACCGTCATACAAATCACTTTTCTCATCGTATAGCCCAGTTTCTGTGACATGGAGTCAGTGCATAGTGAGGCGTCCTAGTGCAGCGGCAGTAGAGACGAGGCAGGCATGGGCTCTGCCCCTAACCGGTGCTGAGGGCGGTGCTGGCAGAGCCGCCGGTAATGCAGCGCCCTCTGGAGTGTGCAGGCCGAGGGGTGCTATGGGAGGAACGCCAAGCGTCTTGATCCAAGAGCCCACTGAGCGGCGGGGTGCATGCGTGCAGCGTGGCGGCTCTCTCCACGCTCGCCTCCCTGTCTCTCCTAGAGGCTCATCGTGTGCCTGGAGGAGTCTCTGTACATCCACAACATTCGGGACATGAAGGTGCTGCACACCATCCGGGAGACGCCCCCGAACCCAGCGGGTGAGCGCCCCGAGGAGGGCGGGGCTGCTCGGGGTGTCCTGTTAAAGACCTGGGGGGGTGCGGGGGGGAGGAGCTCTCTCCTCTGCAGAGCCCACAGCTGGAGGCAGATCGAAGTGGATCGACCTTAAGCCAGGCTCCCTTCCTCCTGGCGCTGGTCTTGTGACCACATCGGTCAATGGTTTGGTCAGCTTCCAATTTTGAGGTCACTAATCACTTCCCACCAGCGGCCTTCAATCTGCTGACAGCCCTGCTATCACGGGCGGGGCGGGGGGCGGCGCTAACCCAGCAGTGCGCTGTGGCTGCTCAGAGCCCTCCCTCCTGGCCCTGGGTTAAGTGACTGCGCTGTATGTGTCACGACCACAAAGGAGCCCTCAGGCCTGACTGCCCTGCTCCCTGTGCCCTCAGGCCTGTGCGCGCTGTCCATCAACAATGACAACTGCTACCTGGCCTACCCCGGCAGCGCCACCATCGGAGAGGTGCAGGTCTTCGACACCATTAACCTGGTGAGGTTCCCTGAGGCTCTTGGAAATGCTGGTCCCTGAGTGAGCGCTGTGGGCCCTGGCGTCCTGGCGTCCTTGGCCCGGCGACGCAGTGCCCGCTGCTGGCCCCCGGCAGAGCTGTGCTGGTCCCGGTCAGCTGCCCCGGGGCGGGCTGCAGGAACCTGTCACCCGGGCACTTCCCAGGGGCCCCCACCCCGAAACCAGGTGGGCTTAGCAGTCACCTTTGGTTCTCCCACCAGCGAGCTGCCAACATGATTCCCGCTCACGACAGTCCTTTGGCCGCGCTGGCCTTCGACGCCAGCGGAACCAAGCTCGCCACTGCTTCCGAGAAGGTAAGGCTGCCGGGCCCGTGGGAAACCAGTCCTGGCAACCAGCCCCGTGACCACACGAGCCCTCAGAGGAGCGCCGGCGACACCCACCTGGCAGGGCCCACTGCGGGCTCGGGGTGCTGCTGGGAGCGGCTCTCCCGCAGGGGAGCTGGGCACGTTCGGGACGGGAGACCGAGTGCCCTGCATGGCACGCCCTCACCACCGCACCCCGACATGGCCCGGGACACAGGCTGTGGTGCTGAGGACTTGGGGGGCGAGAGTGAAAGTGGAGACAGTCTGAGGGGGTCTGAGCGCATTCTGTGTTCGCCTTTCCCTCTTTTTCTCTAACAGTGGTGGTCACAGAGTGTGTCTCATTCAGCCTCCTTTTCCCTCTCTGGTCCTACTGCGCTTCTCTGAGTTACGGCGCCTTTAAGAGCGGCACCGTGTTCACTCCCTTACAGCTACGCCGTAGGTAGGAGTGTGTTTAAGTCCCGCCTGGAAGTCGCTTGTGTGCAGCTCTGGTTATTGAGCGTCGGTGAGGAGACGCCAGGTTACAGGGCCCGGCCCTGTCTGCGCTCCGAGAAGAGGCCTCCGCAGGCCCGACTGTGTGGCCTCCTCAGCCTCCGTGACACTGGAGGGCCCGTCCTCTCGTCCTCACCGAAGGGCCATGTGCGTGGTTTCCTTTGCTGTTCTCCCCTCTCTTCTCTCAGGGTCTCGTTTGTGCTCCCGGCTGCTCCCTCCTCTGAGCACGGG